GTTGCTCGCCCCCGGGTGCCCCAAAGCCGGAGGCTGTTGAAAATGACCAGGGGCTGACTACAGGAAGCCCCTGTCCCGGGCTTCCTGGAATCAGCCGCTGATCAGTTTCAGCAGCAGCTGACTTGGGGATGCCTGGGGTTCTTAAGTTGATTCTGTATGTAGGTCAGAACTGGCGTCCAGATTCAGCCGCGGTTGAAACTGATCAGTGTCAGCAGCGGCTGACGCCAATTCCGACTTACATACAGATTCAACTTAAGAACAAACCTACAGTCCCTATCTTGTACGTAACCCGGGGACTGCCTGTACCTTTTGGTGCTTTTTTATCCAGCGCAGTCTTTGTGGCAGCCTTCTTGGAACCTTTTGTCTGATGGTCTTCCATATATTTCTGCTGGCATTCTTCTGCAGATCGAGTACCCAAAGCCATTGCTACATGACTTACATACAGATTCAACTTAAGAACAAACCTACAGTCCCTATCTTGTACGTAACCCGGGGACTGCCTGTACCTTTTGGTGCTTTTTTATCCAGCGCAGTCTTTGTGGCAGCCTTCTTGGAACCTTTTGTCTGATGGTCTTCCATATATTTCTGCTGGCATTCTTCTGCAGATCGAGTACCCAAAGCCATTGCTACATCTACCCAAAAGCCATTCTTGTGTTTTGGAAAAGATGCAACAGCCCTGAAAAGAGAGCAGAAAATGTAATAAATCTACAGCCAGAAGAAATGGGTTGGGCTACAACGTTTATTCAAAAGTCAATTCTCTAACCTAGTCATAAGACAAACTGAATCTAACTTTTACATTGTTAGGAATGTAGATTCTTTTTAAAACTTGATTTCATTTTTAGAAACCTAAGAAAAGGAGTAACTGCTAAAACCAGATTAGGTGGTCCTAATCTAGAACTTTGCCTCCAACAGCAGGCAGTTCCAGAAATTTTGATAGGTGTAAAATCTTCATAAACGATCATATGAGGATCTGCACATGGGTGCAGTTTCTTCCTAATCTCAGGCAGAGGATTTGGGTTTTTTAACCCTGAAACATGTTCAAGGTTTGGGTTGGTTGTTTTTTTTAATCCTAAAGTACTATAGTCATTCTTATTATTCACAGATGGGTCAAATCATGCTCATCTCTTGGCCTCATTAATGCTTTGTGGTGGTCTTTGCCACCACTTAATTTCTATGTAAATTGTAAGTGTTATTTTTAACATCCCTTTCTATTGTATTTGGAGAGAGTAAGTGGTAGTTCCTAACTATCTTTATCTCATTCATTAGTTTGATTGCTTCTATCATGTCACCTCTTATTCACCTGCTCCTTCCACTTAAGAGTCCTACTCTCTCTAAATTTCCTCATGTGAATAATCTTTCACTTGAAAGATCAGCACCTTCAATTGAAAATTTAAAAAAAAAACTAATTTCTGTAGGGTTTTTTGTACAACATATATAGTTTACCTTTTGCATATCTTAATTAACACAAAAACCCTAAGGGCATGTCTTTACAACAGGGCTAAAACCAAAATAAGCTGCACAACTTGAGCTACATCAATTGCATAGCTTATTTCAGTTTTTAGTGCTGTCTACATAGCAGGAAGTCTGAGAAAGAGCACTCTTCCTCATAAAACAAAGGTTACAGGAGTCAGAGTAAGAAGTCCTCCAGCTCGACATTATTTCGACATTATGTCGAAATAACTGCTTGCTGTGTAGATGTGGACTATATTATTTCAGAATAACACCAGTTATTTTGAAATAAAGCTGCCGTGTAGACATAGCCTTGAGTTCTTATTGTTTCCAAGTCATTTTAAATTTCTAGATTTCCTGTACTGGCACAATATTATAAAATGTTTGAACAGAAGACTCATCTTTAAACTTTTAATTAAAATTTAAACATATTTTACCAAAACCTACATTGTCTGTGTCTTTCATTTCTGCAGCTTCAAAGGGATAGCTGAGTTAGTCTGTAACTGGAAAAGCTTAAAAAACAACGAATAGTCTAGTAGTACCTTAAAGACTAACAAAATATGTACATGAAACAAAAGACAGGACTATGCAGCACTTTAAAGACTAGCAAGATGGTTTATTAGGTGATGAGCTTTCGTGGGCCAGACTCACTTCCTCAGATTACATTGTGAAAGAAAATTGGCATAACCATGTATACCAAAGGGATACAATCAAAAAACGTGAACACACATAAAAAGGACAAATCAAATTTCAGAACAGAGGGAGGATGAGGGGGGGAGGTTAATGTCTGTGAGCTAATTATATTAGGGGTGATAATTGGGGAAGCTATCTTTGTAATGGGTAAGATAATTAGCATCTTTGTTGAGGCCCAGTCGTAAAGTGTCAAATTTAAGCATGAATGACAGTTCAGAGGTTTCGCTTTGAAGTCTTGTGTTAAAATGTCTTTGAAGCAGGATGCAGGTAGTCAAGCCATTGAGACAATGCCTTTTCTGGCTGAAATGGCAAGAAACTGTTTTTTCTTTGTGAAACTGTTTTGTGGGTATTGATTCTTTGATATCTGTTTTGTGGGTATTGATTCTTTGGTGAAGTGTCTGAGATGTTTGTCCAATATACATAGCAGACGGACACTGTCGGCACATGATGGCATAAATTATATTTCTGGATGAGCAGGAATATGTGTTCTTGATCTTATATCTGAATTGGTAAGGTCATTTCAACCAATTCTTGCCATTTCAACCAGAAAGGGTATTGTCTCAACGACTTGACTACCTGCATCCTATCTTACCCATTACAAAGATAGCTTCCCCAATTATCACCTCTAATATCATTAGCTCACAGACATTAACCTCTCCCCCCATCGCTCCTCTGTTCTGAAATCTGATTTGTCCTTTTTATATGTGTTCACTTTCTGATTGTATCCCTTTGGTATATATGGTCATGCCAATTTTCTTCCACAATTTCATCTGACCCACGAAAGCTCATCACCTAATAAACCATCTTGTTAGTCTTTAAAGTGCTGCACAGTCCTGTCTTTTGTTTCAGCTAGAGCAGACTAACATGGCTACATCTCTATTACTATTCAAAATATGTACATGGTATCATGAGCTTTTGTAGGCAAAACCCACTTCTTCTGAGGACTGGAGTATTAAAAGTCCAGATCCAAGAATAAATAAGGGAAGAGGGGGGAAGGAGGAGAAGAAGAAAAGGAGAAAAAAGACAGTGAATAGATTCAGACTGTGAATGGCTAGCTAACTACAAAAGCAGTTTCTCCTCTCTTGGTGTTCACATCTCCACATCAGCTGCTAGAAGTGGGCCTCATCCTCCTTGACTGAATTGACCTCGTTATCTCTAGCCTTATTCTTGATTGGAACTCTTTTCTTATGCCTGTATATTGATACCTGCCTCTGGAATTTCCACTACATGCATCTGACGAAGTGGGTCTTTGCCCACTAAAGCTTATGCTCCAATAGAACTGTTAGTCTATAGTGCCACAGGACTTCTCGTTCTAGTGAATAGATTGTTCAAGTTACAAGAGTCTGATAAGAACAATTAGCACCACCATTGTTTGGTTGGTTGGTTAAGTCATTAGGATGTGGAAGGTAGTGTGTGAGCCAGCTGATGTCTCTGTTCATTCATTCTTATAAGAATTAAACTTTTAAATGAAGTTAAGTTCCAACTCTTCATTTAAAAGTTTAATTTTAACCTTTCATTTTACAAGTTTAATTGTAAATGGAATGAACAGAGACATCAGCTGGCTCTCACACTACCTTCCACATCCTAATGCCTTAACCAACCAACCAACGGATGTACTAATTGTTCTTAGTCTCTTATAACTATTTGAACCCTCTCTCTTTTTTCCCCCCTTTCCCCTCCTTTTTTCTTCTGCAATCCTTTTCCTTATTTATTCTTGGATCTGGACTTTTAATACTCCAGTCATCTGAAGAAGTGGGTTTGCCCACGAAAGCTCATGATACCATCTACATGTTTTGTTAGTCTTTAAGGTGCTACTAGACTATTCATTGTTTTTTAAGTTTTTCATTTCTATGTTTATTTTTAGGTTTACAGCGTTTTATTGGCTGGGGAAAAAAACAAAAACCAAAGCCTTTTTTTTTGGGGGGGGGGGGGGGGGGGGGGTGTGGAAAAAAAAAGTTCCAAAGTTCCAAATTAAAAAAAAGAGAACGGATGAAAATGAAACAAGAACAAACAGAATAGTCTGAGCACATAGTAAACACGCACTCCTTTACTCCACCTTGACTGAAAAATAACCCAAGTAATGCTAACCTAATCTAAATGCCCAAGACTAATTAATTCCTTAAAAGTCCTGGTAAAGTGCTTTGGGTTTTTTTTGGTTACCAAGCATAAATGCTTGCCTCTGTAGTTTCTGTAGCTCCTTTTCAGTCCAGTCTTCAGTTGCACCTGGGAAAGGCTCAAAGAAATTCTTCATCTCTCTCCTGTCAGATTCCTTTGACTTCACTGCTGAAGACTTTGCACTGTTGATAATCTTGTGATCATGTATTTTGACAGATACTTTTGATTTCTTTTCTTTTCTTTGAAATTCTCTATCAGCCTGCTCTTCCTCGCTGTCTGACTCAAACACATACTTCGGAGGGTTGATATTCGCTTTCCTTGTGCTTACTCTCCGGTCAGTCAAAGGGGCACTGCTGGGCCCACCAGCAGGTGCCTTTCCTTGAGGTTCCTTTTCCGATTGGTTCTTCTGGCCAGACAAATCTATTTTCAATTGTCTATCGTGAGAGAACGTGGCTGCAGAATCTTCTGTTTTCCTTTGCTCAAAGGATTTCTTCTTTGTCTCATTCTGTGAACTCCTAGCATCAGAGGAAGATTTATAAATCTCTCTTTCCAAAGAGGGTTTTGTTTTCCTTTTGACTGACAGAGGGATATCTTCATTGGAATCTTCCTCGTCCTTGCTTGAGGAGTCTTCCGTAGACAGTGTGTCTTGACAAAAATGTTTCTGTGACCGTAGAGAATACTGGCAAGTCTTTAGTTCTCTGCCAGAGTTTGTTTTGTAATTTCTGGTCTCATTTCCATATTTTGAAATACTTTGTGCTGCACTTTTTTCTGTAGTCCAGCTATTATATTTTAGCTTATTCTCACACACCTTTTTATGCTTCAAGGGTGTCAATGTAACAACAGCCCTTTTATCATTATTAAGTTCAGCTTCATAGTCACTTTCATCAGGATCTGAAACAAAACGCCTAGAGTCTCTTTTGTCACTGGGCCCAATTTCTCTTTTGGAATTTGCTCTCTTCACATAGATTTTTCCTAAAAGAAAAATGATATAAAGTTTGATTTTACATAAACCAAGGTTTTTACTGAGATGCAGCATTGCACACTGTTAAATAATACCTTATGGCCCCTACTGCAGCCGCATTGTACCCTTTTGTACAATTGTTAAAACTGGATGCTCTCTTCCACTTACACTGGCAGAAAATAAAACACAGGACAGAGGCAAGCAGTAACTCCCAGTGTGCAAATCCTGACTCCACAGAAACCTCTGGATCAGACTATCTGGAGATTAGGGTTCCACAGATTAGGAGGGTGTCCATCTCTTCATGCTAGGGAAGGAAGTAGCTGCCTTAAGCCAGCTTTCCTCCCAAACATACAGAAATAATAATGTAAAACTAGTGGGAATTGGTGCCAGTTAACAGCGTTAACTCTAAGGCTATGTCTAGACTGCAAGCCTCTTTCGAAAGAGGCTTTTTCGAAAGATACTTTTGAAAAAGAGTGTCTAGACTGCAAGCAATATTTTCGAAAAAGCAAGCCGCTTTTTCGAAAGAAAGCACCGAGGGAGTCTGGATGCTCTCTTTCTAAAAAGCCCTGTTTGCTTTCAAGAACGCCTTTTTTCGAAAGAGCACTTTCGAAAAAAGGCGTTCTTCCTCGTGAAATTAGGTTTACCGCTGTCGAAAGAAAAGCCGCGTTCTTTCGATTTAATTTAGAAAGAACACGGCTGTAGTCTAGACGCAAGTGAAGTTTTTTCGAAAAAAGGCTACTTTTTTCGAAAAAACCCTTGAGTCTGGACACAGCCTAAGTCTGTTCTATCCTATTCCTACCAGGGATACAAAAGTGTAACCAAAACGGTTAACCAATAAACATGATCTTATCAACTGATAAACATCACCTCCCCTAAGGGAGAACAGGAAAGCAGAGATAATTTCAGGAAGGCAGATTTTCATTAACTCAGAGAGCTGGTAGGTAAGATCCCATGAGAAGCAAGATTAAGAGGAAAAATAACTGAAGAGATTTGGCAGTTTTTCAAATCGACATTATTAAGGACCCAAACGCAAACTATACCACAGCGTAGGAAAGATAGGAAGTATGGTATGAGACCACTTGGGTTTGACCAGATCTTACATGTTCTAACAATCAAAAAGGAGTCATATAAAAAGTAGAAACTAGGTCAAATTACAAAGGATGAATCTAAGCAAATAACACAATTATGCAGGGGCAAGATCAGAAAGGAAAAGACAGTCAGTTTAACTTCTGTGCCAGGGAAGATAATGGAACAAAGTAGTTAAAGAATTTATCTGCAAACATCTGGAAGATAATAAGGTGATAGGTAACAGCCAGCATGGTTTTGTAAAGAACAAATCACGTCAAACCAAACTGGTAGCTTTCTTTGATAGGATAACGAGTTTTGTGGATAGGCAAGAAGCGATGGACATGAAATACATAGACTTTAGTAAAGCATTTTATATGGTCTCACATAACCTTCTTATCAGTAAACTAGGGAAATACAACCAAGATGGGGCAACTATGAGGTAGGTGCATAACTGGCTGGATAGTAACTACTGGCTGAGAAAGGGTAACTGTTCACAGTCATAGTGGAAGGTCATAACAAGTGGGGCTCCGCAGAGGTCTGTTTTGGAACTGGTTCTGTTCAATATCTTCATCAACAATTTACATGATGGCATAGACAGTATGCTTTTTAAGTTTGCAGATGATACCAAACTGCGAGGGGCTGCAAGTGCTTTGGAGCACAGGGTCATAATTCAAAATGATCTGGACAAACTAGAGAAATGGTCTGAGGTAAACAGGATGAAGTTTAATAAGGACAAATGCAAAGTACTCAACTTAAGAAGGATCAATCAGCTTCAAACATACAGAATGCGAAACAATTGTCTAGGAAGGAGCACTGCAAAAAGATCTAAGGGTCATAGTGCACCACAAGCTAAGTATGAGTCAACAGTATGAGACTGTTGCAAAAAAATGCAAACATGATTTTGGGATGCATTAACAGGACTGTTGTAAGCAAGACATGAGAAGTAATTGTTCTGCTCTACTCTGCGCTTATTAGGCCTCAGTTGAAGTATTGTGTTCAGTACTGGGCACCACATTTCAAGAAAGATGTGGAGAAATTGGAGAAGGTCCAGAGAAGAGCAATAAGAATGATTAAAGGTGTAGAAAGCATGAGCTATGAGGAAAGACTGAAAGAATTGGGCTTGTTTAGTTTACAAAAGAGAAGACTGAGGGGGACATGATAGTGGTTTTCAAGCATCTAAAAGGGAGTTACAAGGAGGAGGAAGAGAAATTGTTCTCCTTGGCCTCTGAGGACAGGACAAGAAGCAATGGGTTTAAATTGCAGCAAGGGAGGTTTAGGTTGGACATTAGGAAAAACTTCCTACCTGTCAGGGTGGTTAAACACTGGAATAAATTGCCCAGGGAGGTTGTGGAATCTCCATCACTGGAGATATTTAAGAACAGGTTAGACAGACTTCTATCAGGGATGATCTAGATCAGGGTTTCCCAACCTATGGGTCGGGACCCAAATATGGGTCACCATTACATTTCAAAAGGGTTGCCAAATGTCTTCCCAGGTGACTCTGCCCTCCCTCCTCCCCCCGTTTTTGAACTGCCTTGGGTCACCAGCTCTTCCTGAATTGTCAAAATGGGTCCCCATCTGGAAAAGGTTGGGAACCGCTGATCTAGACAGTGCTTGGTCCTGCCGTGAGGGCAGGGGACTGGACTTGATGGCCTCTTGAGGTCTGTTCCAGTCCTAGTGGTTTATGATTTATTGGTTTCCATTACAGTTACACATCTGCTCCCCAGGAGCTAGCGGTGTCTCCGCACTGCGGGCTCTGCAGTATAACGGTTATATTGCACAACGCACAGCGCAGCCAGCTCCTGGCTGTCAGCCCCATTCCTGCACAGCTGACTGCGCTGTGGGCTCTGCAGTTTAAAGATTATACATAAGCTTTATAATGCAGGGCCGGCAGTGTGTGTAACCACTAGGAGTTTTAATAGTTACAATGTTACATTTTTAAAGGATTTTTTTACAGCCCTAATCCCTGCATGCCACAATGAGGTCACGATCCTGAAAGCAAATTCACCTTATTTACACAAGTGAAACTACTCTTGCAAGTATGGCAAGAAGGAGTCAAACTCCCAAAATGTCAGCCACCATGTAAGCTGTTCTAGGTCACTGAGAACATGCTGCACTCATTACATCTCCCTCCAAGTTTTTGTATCAGGGCAAGATATTACCCTCTCAACTGCATAAGGACATATTCTGACCCCTGAAGTCAATGGGAGTCCTCAAGTCATTACAGAGGCAGAATTGAGCCATTAAGGCAGTAGCCCCATTTAAAAATGCAACCGCCCTTCTTGCTCACAAAAATGGGGCAGCAGGCCTACCTGGGAACAGGGCTCTTCCTAGAAAACAAATCTGCTTGGATTTCAGTTCAGAGCACCTGACAGACAGAATCTAAAGCACTAAATAAATATGGAACAAAGTCAATAGAAAAAGCAATTGTTTTACTCAATCCAAATCATTCAGCGACATGAGTTTTTACTTTGGATAAGATCCAGCCAAAATAAAATACTCCCTTCATGCAATAAAGAATTCTATACGAGAGGCTCTAGTTGTTTCAAAAAGGACACTAACTTCTGTTCTTAACTTAGTTTTTTGTGGGTTTCTAGACACCATGATTTCTCTGTCTGGTTTTAATGAAGCATACATGAGGAGGAAAAGGCCTGCTGTGTGTGTGTGGGGGGAGGGGGGGGAGGAGAGAGAGAGGGGGAGAGCCCTCCCCATATTCAACCCAGGGAGTGGTTGCACCTCTGTCCCTTCAAAACCAGAGCAGTCCTATGTGCCAGCCTACACCACCCAAAGTGGGGAGTCAGGTCCAGCTCTGTGGGGAATAAGAGTTGCCATGCCCAGAATAACCCATAAAACTAAAAGTTGATGATCTAGTGCAGGCTGCTTACCTTGCTGCACTTCACCCAGTTTGGAAAATGAAGCAGATTGGTGACCCCCCCTTTTTTTTTTTCCGGTTGTCATATACTGTCAACACCAAGCCTCGTGTGTTCAGATTCACTGGCTGGTAGCAGAAATTTTGAACAACCAACCTGTTTCCATTCCTATTTACAGCAGATAACCAATCTGTCTCTTCCTTACGTTTGTATTCTCGCTCTCTTTCACACCACCTATCTTTTGGAGATAAAACTAGGGGACAACGTTGCTTTAATTATCACAAAAGTCAACCAGCTATCAAGATGTATTAAAAAGTTTTAATGGTTTTTGCTATAGGCTCACATTTACTAGATCATCTTTCCAATTTACAATTACTTCAGGAGGAAAATGTATTTAGTAGCTTGCAAACATGGCCATTCTTACCTTTGCATTGGCTTTTAGTTTTTCCTTCACTTTTCTCTGCTGTATGCTCTCTGCTATTTGGAAAGCTGGAAATGGTTTTCTTTTTGGATCGTTCATTACTACATACCTTGTAAAATAAGAAAATAAATGTATTTGCCAGAAATTAAACATGTCAGCTATAGTAAAACCAGTACTTAAGCATAAATTCTTTGTGTTGCATTCTGAGATGGCGGGCTGAGGGGTTGGTAAAAAGCTATATGGCACTGTATTTTGCAAATAGTGACGTTTGTACAAATTTCACATGGGACACCAGACAGCAAGACCAAAATAGTGGGTCAGGTTTCCTTTAATTTACAGGATGACTTCAACTAAGAAAGTAAGTCTCAAACAGGTTCGTGGAGCTCTCCATATCACAATGGTAAACCAGCAATGCATCAAACAATGATACCAGCTAGCTGTTTATAGCGAAGTCCAGTCCTCTTAAGGTTCCCAGAGACACTTGAATGCAACCATGATCAAAGTTTGCCTAGTGCAGGGGTGGCCAACCCACAGCTCTTTGTTCAAAGAAATGCAGCTCTTGCTAGTTCTGAGCCGCTTGCCGCTAGTTCTGAACTGCTCACAGCCAGCTACTCTGCGCACGCGCCCCAGCGCCTGGGAGGAGAAGCACATGGTGGCAGCTTCAGTGAGACCCAGGCATTGAGTTTGGGGGGAGGGGGGGAACGACTGGAGATGCCTGGCTCTGGAGGAGGCGGGGTGCATTGGGTTAGAGCAGGGGAGCTGGGGGGTGCCTGGCTCTGCAAGAAGAGGAGGAGGATTGGGTTAGAGCAGGGGGACTGAAGCACCTTAAACTCAAAGTCTTCATGGGTGCAGAATAAGGCAGCCAACACAGATGACATATTTAAATTCCAGGGCAAAAAAAGAATCAGCATGTCCCTGGTTTACACTGAAGCAAAATGCAGGACAATGTAGCACTTTAAAGACTAACAAGATGGTTTATTAGATGATGAGCTTTCGTGGGCCAGACCCACTTCCTCAGATCAAATAGTGGAAGAAAGTAGTCACAACCATATATACCAAAGGATACAATTTAAAAAAATGAACAAATATGAAAAGGACAAATCACATTGCAGAACAGAAGGGGGATGCGGGGGGGTGGGAAGGGGGAGGAAGGAAGGTAAGTGTCTGTGAATTGCTGATATTAAAGGTAGGGAGAGTGGGATGTTTGTGAGTTAATGGTATTACAGGTGATAATTGGGGAAACTGTCTTGGTAATGGGTGAGAAAGTTCAAAGACTTGTTAAGTCCTTGTTGGTAAGTGTCGAATTTTAACATGAATGACAGTTCAGAGGATTCCCTTTCAAGTGCAGATGTAAAAGGTCTTTGTAGCAGAATGCAGGTGGCTAAGTCATTTAGAGAGTGTCCTTTCTGGTTAAAGTGGCAAGAAACTGTTTTCTCTTTGTGATCTTGTCTGATATCTGTTTTGTGGGCATTAATCCTTTGGCGAAGTGTCTGAGATGTTTGTCCAATGTACATAGCAGACGGACACTTTCGGCACATGATAGCGTAGATTATATTTCTGGATGCGCAGGAATATGTGTTCTTGATCTTATAACTTACTTGGTTAGGTCCAATAATGGTATCAGCAGAATGAATATGTGGACAAAGCTGGCAACGGGGTTTGTTGCAAGGGAAGGTACCAGGGTTGGTATTAGTGTGGTATGTCCTGTGGTTGTTGGTAAGAATCATCTTGAGGTTAGGTGGTTGTCTATAGGAGACTATGGGTCTGTCTCCCAGAGCCTCTTGGAGTATGGTATCCTGTTCCAGTATAGATTGTAGTTTATTGATAATGTGTTGGACAGGTTTAAGTGGGGGGTTGTAGGTGATGACAAGTGGTGTTCTATTGTCCTATAGACAACCACCTAACCTCAAGATGATTCTTACCAACAACCACAGGACATACCACACTAATACCAACCCTGGTACCTTCCCTTCCAACAAACCCCGTTGCCAGCTTCCCCAGTTATCACCTCTAATACCATTAGCTCACAGACGTCCCACTCTCCCCACCTCTAATATCAATTCACAGACGCTTACCTTCCTTCCTTCCTTCCTCCCCCCTCCCCCCCCGCATCTCCCAGCTACCCCAGATCTGAGTGTCTTCCTTATTGTTTTGAACCTCTCGTATTTTCAGTGTGGGACAGACCTGAATTTCCAGAACTATAAAAAAGCCACAATCTTCATAAGTTAAAAAAAAAAAGAGGAAACCATACCAGAAATCAACAAGCTGGAGTGAAATGGGCACTTCAAATTGTGCTAATTTACTTCTCAGTACAGTTTAATTTTAAAAAGCTCACAGGACTTAATAGGGCAGTAGTGTTAAATTTTAAATACAAGGTGGAGATGCTTTTTTTAGTGTGAGACTATTACTGTATTTTTAAAGGTTTTTGTTTTTTTTAAATTTGATGTCTTTTCCTTGTCAAGTTCTCTGAAGATCTATGGACTGGCCATGAATTATTTAAATGACTAGAGACTTTTTTATTTTTTTTTGTCTAAAATGTCCTGCAATGTTATTTTTATCACTACATTTTATATCACTATAGATAGATATATAAATATAAATATATAATACGTGGTTCTTTGCACTCTATCCACAACTATTTTGGCTCTTCGTCCCAAACTTGTTGGCCACCCTGTCCCAGTGTTAGAATTAGCTGACGGTTGCTAACACAAAGTGCAAAGGAACATCAGACTAGAAAGAGCCCTAATTAACTTGCCCAGATAATATAAGGAGTTTGTGATCAGGGACTTTAACCCACAACTCTTGCATTCCAAGCTAGAATGCTAACCACTGAGCCATCCTTATGCTGAAGAAAGGATCCTCGCAAAGTAGTCCACAATTTAAATAAAGGTAAAAAACTACTGAATTAAGAATTCGTGGTGTACAAAAGTCACCTTTGATAGTTTTGAAATTATTATACAATAATGATAGAATGATGATAAAGTAATAAGATGCAGAAAAGTCTTACCAAACTCAAGTAGTTTTTTCCACCCTCTTCCATAGTAACATTTAGTTTATTATCAACAAATTCTCGTTCTCCACACCAGTAATTCAGTGGTGGTTTAATGCGCCGACCGCTACGGCTATAACTTGCATCTGGATCATTTTGCACAGGATGGCATTTGGGTGTTAGATCTATACACACACACAAAATCCTATTAGAAGCAGGATAGTTCTGGATTTTTTACACATCACAATGATTGTATTTTAAAAGTAATCTTAAGTATTATTAGAGGCATAAATCAAAATGCAGACAAGTTCAGAATATCACATTTACATAAAACCACTCTCTGGAGGTAGGCAGTCCCAGCTCTTCCCCCAGCCACGGTGGATGGCCGAGGCAGCGCCAGCCCTGGTCTCCACACCCTCCACTCTCCGGCTGCCTGGGAGGGTCAGGGCTATGTCAGCCACTGCTCTCCCCCTGGCCACCAGACCAGGGCTGTGGTGTGGCAGTCCTGGCTCACCCAAGCACCAGAGAGGAAGGAAGGGGGAGGCCACTCAGCAGAGGGGTGGCAGGAAATGTTTTTTTACACAGAGATAAAATACAGCACAACAGCAGGGGGAACCCACGATCACCTTCAACAGAGAGGGGCCCTGTTCTCTGAGCCCCGTCTTGAGTGTCCCTGCTTCCCCCAGAGCCCTGTGTACCCCACTTCCTGTGTGTTGCTGTTCTCTGCTCCCCCTTATGCTGTGTGTCCCTTTGCCACCATGCCTATAATGAGGAGCCCCATTCCATTACCCTCGCTCGGAGGGACCTCGCTCTCCGTCCCTGGCTTGGGGAGGGGAGCCCAGGCAGGAGTCCCCCAGCACAGAGCAGCCCTTCCCTCCAGCACAGAGGGGGCAGGCTCGGTGTCTGTCCCAGACGGGCCGGGCCAGGCCGTGGCAGCGGCTCAATGTTTCAACGCTCAGCAGAAGGCCACAGAGCAAGCCCTGCTGCCGTGGCGCTGAGTGGGGCATGGCTGCTGGGCAGCCTGTTGCCATCCCTGCTCTGCAGCATGATCCTGGCTGATTTTGGGGCGCAGGTGGATCGCTCACCCTGCTCTGCCTTGAACGCAGATGTACAGGGCCAGGGCAAGCGCTCGCGGGGGGGCAGTGGTACTGAAGTGGTACTGCGGGCGGACATGCTGGTAGAGCCCTACTGCCCATGGAGAGGGGCTGCCTTGGTGCAGGGCTGGAGGGCCAGAAGTGCAGGAATGGCCGGGAGTAGGACCCACTGGTTTCTGAGGGCAGAGGGGGCAGCAGGACACAGTGACGTGCTGACACCACTCTGGCGCACAGCAGGAAGTTGTTTTATATCGAGAGATAAAAAGAGAAGGGCCAGACCAGGTCAGACCAAAGGTCCATCTAGCCCAGTATCCTGTCTTCTAACAGTGGCCAATGTCAGGTGTGCCAGAGGGAATGAACAGGACAGGTAGTCACCAAGTGATCCTTGCCATCACCCATTTCCAGTTTCTGCAATCAGAGGCAGTGGTCACCAACCAGTCTATCGGGATCGACTGGTCCATCTTGGCGCCTCTGACGGGGGATCCTGACAGGTTTGGCCAAGAGGCTATCAAATGCCGGCACTTCAGCTGCCCTTCCCCCCACTGCTGCTCCTCCTGCCCTTTGCCTTGGAGCTGTTCCCCACTCCCACTTGCTGGGCAGGGCAGGGAAGAGAAGGGAGAGGAGGGGCGCTGACGCCAAGGTGCCTCCTCTCCCACCCTGTATCCTATCTCCACAGAATGGAGGGGGGCACAACAGGGCCTGGGAGGGAGGGAGTTTGCTGGCTGCTTTTGAGAGTGGTGCAGGTCCAGGGCAGGGGTGAGCCTGCCTTAGCCCCACAGCACTACCTGTGGTAAGCAGTGTCCAGATAGAGCCTGCATCCTGCCCCCCTGTCCCAGTCATAAACCCGTCCTCCACCCCAAGGCCCTGCCCTAGCCCTGTGCCCCCCCAGACCCAAACTCCCTTACAGAGCCTGTACCCTGAACCCCCAACTCCCTGCCCCAGGCTCAGCTCAGAGACCCTCACACTCCAAATTCCTTAACCCAAGACCAGAGCCTGCACCCCAGGCCTCTGCCCCTGCCTGATGAAAGAGAGAAAGGATGGGGGAGGGAGGAAGGATGGAGCGAGCAGAGGCGGGGCCTTGGAGAAGGGGCACAAAGGAGGCCGGGCAAGGGTATTTGGGTTTGAGGTAGATCCTGGATTGCCCTTAAATTCAAAAAGTGATCTCCTGCTTGAAAAGGTTGGAGATCACTGCTCTATAAGGAACTAGACACACTCCTCCATGAACCTGTCAGTTCTTTTTTGAACCATGCTACAGTCTCGACCTTCACATCCTCTGGCAAACATGCTCAAAGAGTTCCACAGGTTGACTATGCATTGGTAGAAGAAATGTCTCCCTTGGTGTTTTTTTAAACCTGCTGCCTATTCATTTCATTTTGTGGCCCCTAGCTCTTGTGTTCTGAGAAGGAGTAACACTTCCTTCTTTACTTTCTCCATAGTAGTCATGCTTTTATAGACCTCTATTATACCCCATCACCATTCATCACTTTTCCATGCTGAAAATGCAGGTTTTATTAATCTCTTCTTCTATGGATGTTCTTTTTATACCCTTAATAATTGTTGGTGCCTTTTTCTGAATCTTTTCCAATTCAATACATTACCCAAATTTTACTTATGTATCTCCAAATGTTAGTGCTTACATGACTATTCGATAGCCCCCAGGGGTGCAGAAGAGTGCCTGCCTGCCACCCTGCAGCCTCTGATACAGAGGCAGCAGTGTGGGGTGGAGGTAGTCCCAGTCCACAGGGGGCCTTAGCTCCCCACGGACAGGGGCTGCACTAGCATCCCACAGAGCAGCCTCCCCTGCCCTGCTACTTCTGACTGGGGGGAGGGGGCAGGCGGAGCTGGTGCTCATGGGGATGCAGCAAGGGGAGCATCAGGCAGCACTGCAGACAGAGCAGCACTGGGGGAAGGGTCAGGTGGCTCCACAGGAGCTGATGTGTGTGGGGTGCCGGCTTGAAAGCCAGCTCCCACTTGCCCCACCACCCCCTCCTTGCAGCTGCCTCTCTATCAGAGGCAGCAGCATGGGGGTGGCAGTTGACTCTGCGAGATGCAGTGCTTGCGAGGAGCCAACTTAAAAGCCAGCTCCTCACAGGCACCGGCTCCCACTCCCCACCCTTTGTTCCTTTTGATACAGTGGCGGGGGGGGCACAAGTGTATGTGGTCAACGGGATTAATCGATAAGTCTAGGCTTATCGGTTCATCATGTAGTCAACTACACACTGACATCCCTAATTTGCATGTAGTATCTGTGAATGTACCACGAATTGAAATAGATATAATATAACATTTTCTGTCATCTATTTCTGTCTTAATGATTCCCAGCATTGTTAGCTTTTTTGACTGCTGCTGCACACTCAGTGGATGTTTTCAGGGAGCTATCTACAATGACTCTAAGATTTCTTTCTTGAGTGGTTACACAAGTGGATCACAGATGTTGCCAGACCAGAGTCCCAGATTTCGGAGGTTCAATCTGTACTAACAATTTTGACCAAAAATACCAAGAAGAGTACTCACATCTGTTCTCATTATTTAGTGCGACTTCATAAGTGGTGTTTTGTGTTATGGGTTGTTTTTTTAAGTCTCCCATTAACTCTTCTTCTACTTCCACCGCATCCATAGAACTGATTTTTTCATTGCCAGCCTCATCAGTATCTTGTTCTTTGCTAATGTTTTGAAGTTTAAGAAAAAAATAGGAAAACAAAATTTGTCAGTGTTTAATATTGTTTAGCTGAAGAACATGGTGAAACACTATTTTATACAAAACACAGTAAACTCACAAATTAAAAAGCTTTGTATGCTGTTCTTCCCTTGTCCCCACAATCTGACACTACTGGATAAATCCAGCTGCACTGATGCAAACCCCTACTCTAAATAAACTACAACAGACTCCAAGCCAGTGAAAACGAGTATCCTGATGGCACCACTGCAGCTAACTCAGTGTAGCTACACTTGTCTCTCTGGCTAGGTCTACACAGCAACGTTGTCGGAACAACTGACTTTATTCTGAGTGTGTCTACACTTATAAGCCTTTATTTCAAAATAATGTCAAGCTGGAGGACTTCTTACTCCGACTCATGGTAACTCTCATTTCATGAGGAGTAAGGGAAATTGAAGGAAGAGTGTTCTTCCTTCGCCTTCCTGCTGTGTATACAGTGCCAAAAGCTGACTTAAGCTATGCAATTGACGTAGATGAAGTAGCGAAGCTTAATTTGATTTGAACCCTTCTGTGTAGATGTACCCTCTCTCTCATACTCTTCCATGCACAGTAGACAAAGTCTCCTAACCTCTATTTTACATCTAATATATTGGCTACTAAGAATTTGCTTAGAACATAGCCTAAACTAACAGCTACTAAACTGCGGTTGCAGGGATGTTAGTGTATAGTCATTTAAACAATTAACCAATAAGACAGGATTAACCCATAAGCCCAAACAACTGCATGAACACACCCCCCCCTTGCCGCCTCTGTGTCTTTTAAGCCAGCTCCCCGCATGTGCCTGTTCCCACAGAGCTGTCTGCCCCCTTCTGCTCCCTCTCAGAGGCTGCAGCATCGGGGGGGAAAAGCTGGGGCTTGAGGGGAAGCAAACTTCTTAAAAGCAGCTTCCTATGAGCACCAGATCCTGCAGAGCCACCTTCACTCTCCACCCTGTGCTGCTACTCTGATAGAGAGGCAGCAACAGCGTGGAGAGTTGGGAGGCAGGCAGGGACCAGTACATGCGGGAAGCCGGCTTTCAAGCCAGCTCTCCGGACGTATCAGCTCCTGTGGAGCCGCCTGCCTTCCATCCCCATGCTGCTGTCTCACTATCAAAGGAAGCAGCATGGGGGTGAGGGGAAAGAGCAGGTAAGAGCTGATACATGCAGGGAATCAGCTTTTAAGCTGGCTTTCTGCATGTCCCGAGCGCCAGCTGGAGGGGCAGGTGGGAGCACCACCTCCGCCCCCCATCCTGCCTCTGTATCTGAGGTAGCAGCACAGGAGGGAGGGGAAGGGTAGGTGGGAGCCGGTATACGTGGTGAGATGGCTTCCCAGACGTCAGCTCCTGTGGAGCTGCCTGCCCCCTGCACTGCTGCCTCTATCAGCAGCCATGGGGGAGGGGCAGCAGGTGGGAAAGTTTAAAAGCGAGAGCATTGGCCCCCCCTTTGCCCCACCCCAGCATAAGCACACGTAACTGCTAAAAATTCAAGAATATGACAGTTAACATCCCTACACAATTGTATTACATAGTTCTTAAAAACAAGTATTCACTCTACACTATGAAGTTAGCACTGAAAAAATAAAGGCCTTCTAAAATTTACCTCTTTAGTTCCTCAAGAAAATTCTCAATATATTGTTTCCATAGTTTTGGAAATCCACATTTAAACCTATTGATGAATTTGCATGGAAATCCTGTTTGAAACAAAGGAGAGTGTTAATAATGCCTAAAATATTAATACCTTCTCCAGCATTTCTCCCCCTTTCACAGTAAGAAATGCAATACAGGATCATCTTCATTTTCTAAAACAGTGTTTCCCATGGAACCCTGGGGTTCCGCGAAGAGCCAGCACTCCCCCACCCTCTGAAAGAGAGGGAGCCGGCTAGCTTGTTTTCTGTTCCTCCCTGGTGACGCAGAGGCATAGGAAGGCAGGAGCAGAGGGAACAGTTGCTCCTGGCCGGCATACTAGGGAGGTGCCGGACAGGGGTGACCCCACGTGACCCACAGCAGGGAGAGAAGCACTTCCCCTCCCCAAAGGAGCCGGCGCGCGCTGCCTGAACAGCTGGGGTTGTGGCACCCAGCAACTTAGTTCCGCGGCCTTTCTGCACCGTGCGGGGGGGAGGAAGGGGAGGGGAGGTCAGGAGACCCGGGTCTACAGAGCTCCGACTGCGCAGGCAGCGCTCTCTGCCCTGGGACTCCTCCCTCCCCGCCCCCCGCCCACGCAGGACAGCATCACGGAAGTAAGTTGATGGAGTGAAAGAGCCCCTGCTGCTCAGGCAGTGCGCACGCCAACGGTTTGGAGAGGGGAAGTGCAATCACAGGACTGCCAGGTACTGATCCCAGCTGCCCGTCGCCTGCCCAGACCCCCCCCATGAGTACCCTGTCCCCACCAGCACTGTCCCCAGCACCCAGAAGCACCCTGTCCCCAGTGCCAGCATCCTGCCGCCCACCCCAGGACCCTGGCCCTGGTCCCAGCACCCTGCCACTCACCCCAGCAGCACCCTGGCCATAGCCGTAGCACTATGCCATCCACCCTAGCACCTAGCACCACCCTGTCCCTGACCCCAGCACCCTGCCACCCACTGCAGCACCCAGCACCACCCTGTCCCCAGTCCCCTGCTACCCATCCTAGCACCCAGCAGCACCCTGTCCCCTGCCTGCACCAGCACAGTTCGGACCACATTAGTGAGGCTTGGGGGGTTTTGGAGGGTTGTTGGGGGGTTTTTTTTGCATCTCACTTGTGTGGCCCCAACTGACTTTTCTGTGGGTCAGTGACCCTTGACTCAAAACAGGTTCCTCGCCCCTCTCATAAATAAAGACAATGCTAAAACCTTTTGAGTTTTTAAATAAAATATGTCAAATGAAGCCTGGCCAACATGCCCCCAATTGGGGCCAAACCCCCATCTCACTGCAGCATCATAACACTCCTGCACCACCTGACCCCAAATCTGAGCCTATCATACACTGGAACCCCGTCCTGAGCCTCTTACATCCCCACACTCCTGCCTTCCCACATCCTCAGTCTTCTGTCACAGCACTCCTGCACCATCCACACATGGCAAATCTGTGTCCTGAGCCCATCATACTCACAACCTTCTTGCTCTAAGCCCCTCATATATCCAACCCAAACTCCTGCACCCTCACATCCACAAGCCTGTGACTTGCTCGGCACCCCAACCTGCCACCTGAGCACAACACTCCCCAGCCTGGAGCCTCCTCCCTGAGCCAGCGTCCCCTTCTCCTGCATCCAAATTCCCTCCCAGAGCTTGCACTTCTCACGCCTTCCCACACCCAAATCCCTCATTCCCGCCCCAGAGCCCGCACCTCCTGTCTCAACCCAGTGAGAGTATATAAGGGCTGGGGATAGCAAGTGATGGAGAGGAGGGGAACAGAGAGGGGTGAGGTCTTTGGAAGGAATGTGATTTTCATGCATTGGTGGGTCCCCCTCTTTTTTTTTTCTTGACAAACCTTGGGGTTCCTTGAAATTCTGAAAAGGGTTCGATGGCCAAATAAATTGGGAAACACTGTTCTAAAAAGTCTAAGAAAACTACTTAAATCTATTAAATTGTTGCAATTTTAAGGAAGCTGGCTCCTCCAACTTAAGATGATTGCATTTGCAGACCTTTAAAAGGAGTCAAACTAATTTTAAAAGGCAACCAACATTCTCTTCACTACTCTGCAGGTGTGGTGACTGCAGACCTAAGTCATTAAATTCTGGGCTTTGGGAATCAAAGACCCAGAATTTCCCAACTGCTCTTCCATCCCCTATGCCTGGCTGGCTGTCACTCCACGTTTGGAAATTATGGGTAAGCCTGCAAGCTGACCTCCAGTTCACTCAGTGTTTAAAGAAGCCAGTTAGCAGCAAATAGTACAATCTCTCTCAGAAGGAACCAGATAAGCTCCTATTTTCTGAATCTCTCTCTCTATATATAAAAGTTCTTCCTGCCACGCACAGAATGACATCATCAGGATCCCTGGCCACGAAAGCCTCCAGACAGAAGGGGCTGGCAAGCATAGTGAGCAGTGGGCGCAGCTCCCTAGTTGCTAAAAAAGTCAGGCTATTTGAGTATAGGGATATATGTTACTATTGTCAACAAGAGGATCATAACAAGATCTTCAGTGCTGACACCTCATTTTTAATTAGAACATTGGAAAAATATTTTTGCTTTTTGATTAAGACCACCTAAGACGACACTATGAAAAAATGACATCTGAATACTTAATTTGGTTCACTGACAGCAGCCCATAAGATGTAGTACATTATGTGTTACATAGAAAAAGAACAGTAGTCAATTTTCCTCCCCAAGAAACAGATACATAGTCAATTTCAATTATTTCAGTGGCTTACTTTTAATTAATTCACTTGAATAGCAAACTTCTAAACTGAATACTGAAAAATACTGCCATAGGAATGGGTAAAAGTCAATTTAATTTAAACCTACTCTGCATGCAGCTGGCAGCACTGTGCATTTAGTGTTTGGAAATGGGTTGCAGGTTAGAGATGTTATCACTGCATCCATGACCTAAGAGAACCATTGCACTTTTGCAGTTGTGCGTGACTTTTTATGCAGTGGCCAATAAATGCAGACTTCCCTCAATTCATCCTAATAGATCATTTGGTGTACAGATGGGGTGAGAGGAAGAATGACATAAGAACATAAGAACGGCCGTACTGGGTCAGACCAAAGGTCCTTCTAGCCCAGTATCCTGTCTACCGACAGTGGCCAGCACCAGGTGCCCCAGAGAGGGTGGACCGAAGACAATGATCAAGCGATTTGTCTCCTGCCATCCCTCTCCAACCTCTGACAAACAGAGGCCAAGGACACCATTTTATCCCCTGGCTAATAGCCTTTTATGGACCTAACCTCCAGGAAATTATCTAGCTTCTCTTTAAACTCTATTATAGTCCTAGCCTTCACAGCCTCCTCTGGCAAGGAGTTCCACAGGTTGACTACACGCTGTGTGAAGAAGAACTTTCTTTTATTCGTTTTAAACTTGCTACCCATTACTGAAGCACTAGAGGCCAGAGATCCCCATCTCAGTTCAACCAACTGGAATAAAGGCATTGAAAGACTCCACAAAAGATGCCCAACTTAAATGTATACCCTAAATTAGAAAACACAGTACGAGAACCCAGAAAGAGCCAATGTGGCTTAAATCAGATAAAAAAATGAAGATAAAAAAGCATAGTTTAAAAAGTAGAAGTTAAATTGCAGTGATGAAAATAGAAAGGAGCATAGACTCTGTTAAATGACATGTAAAAATATAATAAGAGAGGTCAAAAAGGAACGTGAAGAACATCTAGCCAAAAAGTAATAGCAAAAGGTACATCCGAAGCAGGAAGCCTGCTCAATAACCAGTGAGGCCATTGGACAATCAAGATGCTAAAGGAGCACTCAAGGTTAATAAGGTCATTGTGGAGAAACTCAATGAATTCAGTCTTCATGTCTGAGGATGTTAAGGAGATTCCCAAACCTGAGCCATTCTTTTTAAGTGGCAAATCTGAAGAACTGTCCCAGATTCAACTGTCATTAGAAGAGGTTGGAACAAACTGATAAACCTAGGGTAGGAAACCTTTTCTGGGTTGGGGGCCACTGACCCACAGAAAAAAAATTAGTTGAGGGTCACGCAGAAGTGAGAAACCAAAAAACAACAAAAAAAAATCCCAAACCTCATTAACATGGACCCTGAGTGAGGAGGAGACAGACACTCCTCACATTCCCCTCCCACACCAGAGCCACAGGGAACAAGACAGAATGCAGGTATTTAAATAATGGAGCTGAGTCTGATGAGTGGGCAGAGGAGCAGACTTAACCTGCTTAAGTGTTATTTCCTTTTCACCCATGGGCTATTATGAATTTTAAGTTTTAAAACTAGTACTAACATTTAGAATGGATACCTGTATTATCTCAGATTCATGAATCAAAATAAGTTACAGCCAGTATATTCTCTCTCTCAGCTGCTTGGCTAACTGGTTCTTGCTCTCACCGTCATGATCTAACCCGTGGAGGGATGATAGGAGTTGCTATAGGGAACTTTCTGGGTGTCTGGCTGATGAATCTTGCCCACATGCTCAGGGTTTAGCTGATCGCCATATTTGGGGTCGGGAAGGAATTTTCCTCCAGGGTAGATTGGCAGAGGCCCTGGAGGTTTTTCGCCTTCCTCTGTAGCATTGGGCACAGATCACAGCTGAAGGACTCTCTGCATGTTGGGGCCTTCAAAGTATTTGAATGCTTCAATATCTTTGATATAGGTGAGAGGATTATTCTAAGAGGGGTGGTTGAGATTCTGTGGCCTGCACTGTGCAGGGGGTCAGACTAGATGATCATAATGGTCCCTTCTGACCTTAAAGTCTATGAATCTATGAATAAAGTCTATGAAAGATGGGGCCTGGGGGCCAGATCCCACCTGCAGACTGCATCAGGCCGCTTTCTACTTATATCCTGCTGTCTGTGCCACCAAATTCCAGGCAGTGCTCAAGCAGCAGGATACTCTTTCAATAGCTCCTGGTTGCGGAGCTACTCCAGCACAGTCTGGAGCTGCAAGCCCGTTAAATAGCCTCAGCAACCCCAGCTGTCTGCCAGGCAACGCAGTAGCAGTGGGCTGAGTCATGAGCCCTTTGCTGTCTTTTTAATTCAAAGCCTCTGGCCCCAGGCAACTCTGGGAGAGGCTATCCTCAGGCCTGCTCCATCTG